AATCATCTTGTGAATAATTTCTCCGTTAATTGCAGTTAGCTAGGAAATTAGTCGTGCTAATTGATTCAGTTCGCGAACTCGAGGAAAAACGTGATGAAACGTTCCTCCTCGTCTTCAGGCTGAATCTTCAATCGAGCCCCCTGTAAAACCTTTCTCACCGTGGAAACCGAACCATCGAGTGTTTACCATTAATTCGCAAATGCCGCTTTTTGCGAATTCCAGCGACGACGACAGCGGTTCGCTCTTCGAGAAATAGGAATGGATGGTGATTCCGGTGGAAGGCGAAGGGAGAAAAAGTGGATGTGGAAGGAGAGTGGATGGTTTGGAGAGGTAAACAAGACGTCATGGAGAAGGATACGAAACGATAAATGAAGATAAGAAGAAGTTCAAAGGAAGTAATGGATTACCATTCTTTTGGTTTTATAAAGAATTAAAGAATAAAACGAAAGATAGAAAATAATATTTGATATAATCTGTGATACTTATTTTTATCGATCACTCGATTTCGTTTGAATATGAATTTAACATATCGATGCTTGACGAAGTAATAATTATTTCAAAATTAGAAGAAAACAACAGTACGAAATAAGAGTCCTTTTTCTTAGACTTGACTTTAAAGAATTTATAACCTCGAAGACTTAATTACATAACATCCTCGACAAGGATTCTAAGTTGTGTAATTACAAAAAGGTTTTTGTAATTCGAACAATCTAAAAGAGAATCGTATTTTAATCCAAAATAGTTTAATCCAACCTATAACTTTCTCAATTTTGAAAATCTTTGTAGAAGAACAAACGATTGAAACGATACGCTTGCATACATTTGCATGTGTGACAAAAGACAAGCATAATGGAAGAAAACAAAACAAAATATTTGTGGAAGCTTTTTAAAAAAGGGCGGGAAAATTTGAACTTCTCAAAACTCCACCGTCGAAAAGTGAGCCCGGACACGGTGATAATTTAATTTATCGCGGATGTGGTTTTTGCGCGGCGGGCCCCGGCTGAAATATTTTGCACCTGCCCCTGTGTAATAACGTCCCTGCTAAATTATCGCATTATACGGAGGCCTGCGACCCCGTGGCCAGTAGCAACGCGCTCCGATTTACGCGGAAGTGACCCTACGTCATTGTCACGACCCGTTTAACCGTTCCGAGTCGAATCTATCGGCGATTCCCATTCGATCCTTCGTTGCGTCACGCTCGATTCCGCTAGATGTCACCGGCCATCCGTCTTCAATCGCGTGGATCGAAGTGGTGGGATCGAACCTCAATGGCGCGAAATGAAATTACGCGGTCAACTTTCGGCCGAAAGGAATTCCCCGTGAACAGAGGGGTATCGGATATAGATGGAGGAATTGAGACGCAGGAAGTGAATTTTCGATGAACGGGGAGAGTTGTCGTAGAAAATGCAGAAATCGAAACGCAGGAAATGTTTCGAATTGTTCTCCTCTTTTGAAAATTTATTTTTTTTTTGAAACGAAGTGTTATACGTATAGGGATGGAAATGAAATAGGGATTGTGAAATTGAATTACACGGTTTTTTCGGCCAATTTCGGATTTTTTTTTTTCTACGATATATCGCTATGAGCAGGGATATATATCGTAGGTGAAGGAATTGAAACATAGGGAATATTTCGAAACGTTTCGAATATTTTTTTTTTTTTTGAAAACTTTGAAAATTATTTTTTAGAGAGATAGATTATTATACGTAGAAACACAGGATGAAGTGAAATTACACGATCAAAAAGAATTCTTGATGAATTGAAAGATATCAGTGATATGGAGAAATTGAAATTTAGAAAATATAAAACGTATCGAAACGAGTAATTCGAATTATCTTTTCTTTTTTTTTTTTTTTTGGAAGGTTTGAAAATTATTTTTTAATGGAATAAAGTATTACATGTATATATTGAAATAGAGAATGCGAAATTAAATTACACATGATTTTCTGTCAATAATTAAAAATAATTTTCGATGAACAAAGTGATATCGGAAATGGAGAAATTGAAATGTAAAAAATATAATATCGAAAGATTTTTAATGAGTTTTCTTTGTTTCTTTTTCAAAAAATTATTCTTTTTGAAGAAAATAGAATATTATAAATACACAGAAACGAGAGAATATGAAACGTGCGAAGCGAAAAAGCGATATTACTATTTTTTAGCAGATGCATCTTTTTTTATTTGCTTTTCATGGATATCGATGTTTTGTTTAGTTGATTGAAAGCCTGGACAAGGGTTCGGCGCACAAAAGAGCGCAGGTATGTAATTCAAAAAAATTTTTTCAGCACAAGGGGTTCATTGTTATTCGAATTTTATCGCCCTCGATTGGATCGATTCTCGAGAAAGAACAATAGGATGAGAGAAATAGGATGTAAAATTAAAAGGTTCTCTTTACGGTTATATGTATAAGTTGTTCCAGATACCAAATATATTTTACTCCTATAAATACGAAAAGGAAAATGTGGTGTGCGTATATCCTTCAATTTAATTGATACGAGTTAACCTGGAAAAAATATTACGAATAATAAAAACAACAAATAAAAAAGAAATCTAATAAAAGAGAATCGAATCGAGAAACGAACGGAAACCTAATTTTCCTTTTTTTCACGTCATTTCCAACAGATTTAATTCTATTCACCTCTCCTCTGGCGCAAACCATTCAACCATTCATAGAATAAATAAAGTTACACCACTTGTAATGTATTCAAAATCTAAACGCGTAAATCGTATCAAAATCCCGCGAATAGAAAATAATTTCAAAAGTGTCTTTAGAAACTTTATCATCCTTTCTCCTCCCCCGATTCTTGATCGAAATCAACCTTGTCCATGCAGAATCAAACTCGTCCATGCTTCGTCACGGAGGAACCGATCGCCGTCACGCGGGATAGACAGGTCAGTAACCGAGGTCACCCCTTTCGCGCCACCCCCTTCACTCGCCTTCCGACGAGTGAAAAAGAGGAATACGGATAAAGAAGGAAAGAGAAAAAAAGAGGAAGAGGGAAAAATATCAAACCCGTGCGGCAAAACCGATTAACACGCGCGGTTGTACGTCATAGAGTGGGTGGTGGACGTGAATTGGACAGATCGATCGGCGGTATATCCGGCGTTTATACAAGCGCATTTGGCGAGTCGGTTGCATGGGTCCAGTGACCGATGCAAAAATGATTGTCCTGCGAACGGTCTGGCAATCAAAGTGTTAAATTTGCAACGGTGGGGCGAGGCGAAGACAGATTTGCATAGCGGACGGAATCGCGCAACGAACGGAGAGAGAGAGAGAGAAAAAAGAGGGGATAAAACGCGAGGGATTCGAAATTTTATGAGCGGTCATTGTCTGGCTGGTTGCGCGTTCCAGGCGCCACGTAAAAGGACGGGCACTTTATATGGTGTATAATAATTTCAAGCCTCCATTATTCGACGCTTCAACTTTCGCGACGTATCGTCACGTTTGCGCTCACCTCTCGCGTCGATGTTTCCTTCTCTGGTTATATTGGTGGCTGTTGCGCTTTTCACACACGGTTGAAGAGATCGGTGAGAGGTGATTGCGCGCGCGTGGCGGGTTGAATCGTCGAGTTGAATCACTTTGTTTGGCTGTAATTTTTTTAGGCGTAGGCGAAATACATCGGGACCGAAACTCGTTTGCGTTTGAATTATAGAATAAAATGTGAAAGCGTGCTGTATCGGGATTCGACTTTTGATTTTTCTTTTTTTTCGAGAGAAAGAGAGAGAGAGAGAGAGTTTGATTCAGTCGTCGAACGGAGAAGTGAAATTTTTTTTCTTAGTTTGAGAGGGTTGGAAATCATAGTGATGGAAGAGAAGTTCATATTTAATAAATTCTTGATGATTTCTAAGTTATGTATCCAATTATAATTTAAAATAATTGAACTTATACCATTTATAAAAGATTACTTTTCATAATTGATCAAGAATGAAGTTTAAAATTGAAATTGAAAATTTTTATTTCGTTCACTCGAATATTTTCCAACATTTATTTTACACAACGTTAAAAATAAAATAGATAAATGTGGCTCAAAGTTATCGATCCTGCATTGAAACTGAATCAAATTTTCATAAAAATCTATGGCCTAAAACAACCCTTCTATTCCAACGAAGATCGCGACGAGATACGTTCACGCAACTTATTCCCTCGAATCTATTTTCAAACAGCTTTCCTTAATTTAAGTTCACGAAAATTTTCCTCGACGTACGAATCTTATCAAGCCGAAAGAAAATTCGACAAAGTTTCAAACTCGATCCAAGAAAATATCTCTTTGTTTCTCCCCCGTGAAACTTGCGCGCGATAACCACAAAGGCCCCCCATGTATATTCATCAAAAAACTTTTTGGATCAAGCGCAAATTAATCGAGTGAAATCTAGCATGTATATATTTAAATGTAAAAAGATAAACTACGCGAAAATACATTTTTCATCCCTCTCTTCGTAAAATCGCTTTGAAATATTCTTGGTAGCTACACGCGTATTCAGCATGCCTCGCTTGTTATTCAAATTCTGTAAATAAATTTCCTTTGATTCCCTCGTTAAAAAAGACGAGAGAGCAAAACTACATCGAACGAAACCGGAATAAAGGCAATAAAAAGTATCTCGACAACTCTCGGTGACTTTCGCAGCTTCCACTTTTTTTGGCACAGTTTTTGTTCCAAGCGTGCTCGATTCGGATAAACAATGGTCGGTATTTATTCTCAAAACTCTCTTCTAGTTTCAAAGGAACAGACTCTGTTCAATTCCACGCGTTTCCAGTTGCAACAAATGCGACGAAAATATTTTTTTTTTCCATCCCTCTACCTTCTCGAATGATATATAGATATATAGATATATATATATATTATACTCGTAACGATCGGATTGGTTTCCACTAATTGTAAGGTATTCTCGTTCTTGGAAAATAATTGATATGTCAATCCGTTCGAACGAAATCCTTATCACGGTAACTCGTATACGATCTTTTTTTGTGCTTTTTTTTTTGTTTTTTTTATTTTTCGCAATATTCGTTCGAAATTTTATCGAACAAGCGCGCGTAATAAGGGTCAGACTTTTACGAATCGACCGAAGAAAAATCGGTTTTCTTTCTCTCGATATCGCTCTCGGATCGCTCGAAAATATTCGCGTGGAATGTTGCGCACGAAATTGGCAAACCTTGAGCGTTGGTAAACAGGAATGTTCTCGACAAAGGGGCGAAACTTCGTTGTCTTTGGGGTGGGGGGGGGGGAAGTTTCACGTTTCCATTTTACGTAGTTTAAAAAAAAGAGAGGGGGAGGAGTAGGAACGAAACAAGAGTAGTAGATCTTTCGTAAAAAAAACAGTGATTCCAGTCTCACAAAAGTGTCTCTTTGCTTCGCGGTTTATTTTATATATATATATATGTACGTATACGATCGAGAAATTTTTGTTGCTGATTTCGTTACTGCTTCTTCTCCCGTAACGCGGTAAAAAAAATTGTCTCTTGATACAATTCGTCCTGCACGATATACAACTGCGTATATGAACATGCACACGTTCCTTTGGGAAGCTCGCCACGCGAGATATTCGAAGAGACGTCCCGAGGAGAGAGGATCGTTTCGATTCCCTCGACATCCCCTCGCGTTTAATTCGCCACGAGGAAGAAAGGAGTTAGCACCATTCGAACTGCAGGCCCGCACGATGATCGAGACATCACGGTCACCTCAAGAGTGACGAGAACAGCAACGAAATGACGACGAGGGCGAGAGATGTCGCTCTCACTTTTGTTGAACCACCGTGTTGCATGGCTGCTGGATTCTCGCCTGGAACAGATTATAAAAATGTACGATTGGTAGGAAATATCGTGTGAATATTTGTGGAAAATTATAATTACAACGATTGCCAAGATCTTATAAGATCAGACTCGCGTTATTCCAAAATCAGACAGATTATTTTAAAATTAGGAAAAGTGGAAGATTTGGAAGAATTGAATGTTAGATGTTAGAAATAATTGGGTTCAAGGATGCTTAAGTTTTTGTGAAATGGCTCACATCGTTATGAGTATCGGTAGGAAACGTAAATTGGAAAGATTTCATTGAATTAAGATAATAATTGAACGTCATGGAAAGATAAGATAAAAAATAAATATTTTACACTTGTATAATTGTCATATGGATTATACAGAAAACGTGAATCGTCGAGATAAAGTACACGTCTTGGATAACCACGACATAACACGAAACGTTTCGGTAGCTTGTACCCCTGGGTGAAGAGCATCCAGCTGGTATATTCTCGGAATCTAGTTAACATATTCACGGAATCTGGCATGTTCATGGAATCCACGAATCCAAGCTGAATCTGCAGTTTCGGAACCTTGATCGAGAGGATCAGTCAGAATACATCAACAGGAAACAACGTGTTATTACATTCGTGAAACATTTTTGGAGGATTTTAAAGATTATAACAAATACAAAGGTTGATATTCAATTTCAAATTATAATACAAGATTTCGATTTGCAAGATCTCAATCATTCTCGATCTTTCTAACATTTACTTTACATCATCAATTTCTTCAAATTGTTGTGTAGTCATTATTATAAATGATGATTAGATATGAATATTTTTTATTCTTTATTTAAATTGATTAATCGATATTCTATAAAAATATCAGTTGAGGTTTTATTAACTTATAAACGATTCAAAATACGACGAATATAGAAACATCTTATTTTTTTTTGCTTCTAGAATCGATTCTTCAAAAGTGTTTCTCGAATATATTAACACCCTGTATATTCTACACTCGTGATATCTAGAATCACATAGTGATTCTGAATTTTCGAATCGCAATACTATCGTTAGATATAAAATTGATTAAAACATTAGATAAAAATCTGACATCATTCTGATCCTGGTTTTTAAACTCTGGATTGTTTCCGCTTAGTTTTACGATTCTGGTGTTATCGTGATTGTGAACGATATGGTGATTTGACTTTGGTTTCACTGCTGTGCTGCTAGTTTTCCTTGAACCTCAGAGTGACCTGGTTTGTGTACTTTAATCCTGGATCATGTTTATCATAGTCCCAGACCACCGAGTGATTTTATTTGGGTTCAGTGGCCTTGATGTTATGCCAACCGTGGTCATTGAACTTTGGTATTATTCATAATCTGTTAATTTAAGATTGAACCTATTTTCCAGATTAGCCCATATTTTTCTATCTTTCAGATACGATTTTTTTCTGGTACGTTGTTTCGTTACTGTCTTCTTTTATTTGAAGAATATATTTTTATGTCATTCGTAATATAAAATTGACAATTTTAATTCAAACGTTTTAAAAAAATATGATCTCTTGTGTAAAATAATTTTCCACGATTACTATTGTTTTTACATTAAAGACAACGTGGTTAAAATAATTCTTTTTCTTCCACAAACATAGCTGCAATTTGTTATTAAAAATTCGAATTTTATAAAAATTAAATCTATTGGTATTGATTAATATTCAATCGCAAGGAAGAAGGAAGATTCTTTTTCTAATTTTTATTTTCCAAAAATATATGTAATAGATAATAAAAGATATAAGAAATAAGGGAAGAAGAATTAACTTTTTTCATATATAATATTTCAAACTCACGCGTTATAATTTGGAATTAAATTGCATTAATTTCTCGACTTTCCTGTTAATCTTCTTAATCGTCTTCGTATCACGAAACCTCCATCAAAACCGCACGAAATCACGAACTTTCCTCCCCAACCTGGCTTTTTAATTATTTCACCGCGGCGAAAGGCGTGAAATCGAAATTATAGAGTCTCAAGAGAATCCAATATCTGGGTTGGTAGCATTGGTCCAAAAGAAAAAAACGCGGAATTCCGGTCGAGGAAAATCGTGCATGGATCAGCAATTAAGGAAATGACAGGAGAAATGGAACGGGGGAATGTAGCACGGGTGGAAAGAGTAGAAAAAAAAAGAATGAGGCGAGAATGATGGACTGTGATAAAAAAGGATGGAAAAATATCGTGAGACCGAGACTTAGATCAAGGATTAATGTACGGTTCTTGATTTCTCGCTAATCTCTTAATCTTCTCTTAAGTACTCTTTAATTCGATTCCCACGTTTAATTATATGTAAGGAGAGACGCGATTGAAATTAACGTGGAATACCAGGGCCAAATTCGCGAGAAATCTCATTTGAAAGCGGGGAATCGGTTGGTAAAAGTGTCATCGTTGAATTTCAAGATCGGAAATCAGGAATTAGTGTGGGTTAGATTTTCGCGAGAACTATAAAACGGATCTTATGCAAATGGAAGAATTTCACCTATTCTTGGTATTCAGTGGGGAAAAATATTACCCTTTCAATGAGCGGATATTGAAATAATTAAACGTTTCATCGATTCTCTTGTCTTCGCGAAAAAAAATTATATTGGACAGGTTGAGATTAATTTTTAATTTAAAAGTGTTTGTGGAAACGTTGTATGCAGTATTTATTACGAATTATTAAGAGGCTCGAGTGAGATTTTATCTCTTCTTTTGGATCGCAATGAGATGTAAATAAAAATTCGTAATATTTCTTTTTACGAAAATATAATCCTACAATTTGAAAATTTGAAGTAATGATTTATTGTTGTGGTGCGAAGAAATTTACGTTTCACATAATACGAGATACTTTCTGTACATTACTTAAATATACGAACATATTTTAACTGCATAAAAATTCGCAATCTACTCGTAATTTATTGTATGTGAACGAGGTATGCTAGAAGTGGAACACTTTCGTAAGAAAAAAATATATTTATGGCAACGATCTTCCACTTCCACCACGTTAATTAAAAAATAATTTAACTTATTATTCAATTTTCTCGTTTCAAATGCGTAGATAATGTAATTAAGGGGAAAATTGAAGATTTTACATACTGTGCAACGTTCCTGCAAGCATGAATTTAATGAAATTCCATTAAACGTTAGAGAAACTGTTATATTACCGTATATAGTTATCGATAAGCATTGTTCAAAGCCACGAAATTGCAATCAGATCGTTATAAGGAGGGAACATTGCTCTTCCACTATATTCCTTCATCATTTTCATTCGCCATATGAAAGGATCGAACGATCGTCTCAATGAATCGATTATAGATTAGAATCAATAAGTTAATTCACACACGGATGTATCGTAAACATATATATAACACCCGAGAAATCGAGACAAGAAATTTCAATCTGCTAATAATTAATCGGTTTGAATTGAATCAGTCAGATAAAAAAAGAAAAAATAAGCGACACCGATGCTTCCTTCAAATAATATTATATAAGATTTAAAGCGTTTCCCTGTTCATATTTGAACCGATTTAAGAGGACAACTTCGCAAGGGAAGCGACCATTTTCAAGATTCAATTAAGAGGTGACGGTGGTGGAAAAATTTACAGCCCTGTTTACGCTTGATTCTGGTAAGTCGAGTCTTAGGATTAGCCCCGGATCCTCGCCTCGTTAATTGGATCTTTCTCGAGTTCCTATGGAAAAGACCTCTCCCTTCATCCAAGAGTCTAAGGGAACCAACCTATTTTCTTAACTGTCACGGAAGAATCGATTTTGCGCCGATCCTTTCGCACACCCTTCCCACGCAGTTAGATTCACACGATTAAAAAGTGAGAATTCTTGACGGCAATGCTCGATGAAATTGAGCAGAATCGTATCCGACTCGAATCGAATGGTTAATATCGATGTTAATCGAGAGCGAGGATTTATTGGTTCTGTCTTAGGATCGTATAAATTATAGACGAGGGTTGATTTACGGGTTGAAATCCGTGCAATTTGTTCTCAATGACTAATCACTCCTTTAATCCACTCCAGTTATATATATAAATCCATCCACTATTATGAATCCATCCTCAAATTACAAAGGATTAAATTATTTAATTATGATCGACTTACAATTGTGTGAATATAATTATGATTTAATGGGAAATCAATACCGTTCGACTGACTGTAATAAGTTACTTATTCGATTATTACCGATCTAATTACTTATCCGGCACACGCTATTTATCCGACAAAATGATTGACTTACATTACTTGTCTCTGTTAAAATTGAATTACACGATCGGTATATTGATCTAATAGACTTTTAATAGACATGCAATAATATATTAATATTAATAAAACTAGTATAACTAATTATGAAATGAATACATTGTATATTATTCATTTAACCGTAATAACGATCTTATTCTACTCGTCTCACGAATGATTTTGCTTCTCTTATTAGAACTGTCCTGTTTCATACAATCAACAAATGACAGGATCATACTATTTTCTATCACTCTATCGTTCATGGCAAGCGAGAAAACGAAATTAAGCAGATTAAGGTTAGGAAATTGGAAAATGTTGGAAACCCTCGAACACATTCCCTTTTCTATGTATTCAATGAAAATTGGAGGGAGGAGAAATTCGAAAGAACATCAGAATCAACGTGTCTCGTTAAGCCTGTGCCACGGTGGTGAAGTTTCACGGTGATTTATAATAAACGCCGGTTTAAAATCGCCGACACTAAAACGAAGGTCGTGGCGCGGTGGAAAATCTTGTATATTTCATGAAGTGCAGCCGGCACTCGTGGCGGTTCCGGAAGTGGCACTTGAACTTGTTGAGCCGGCGGAGCACCTCGTCACGGCCGGGATAAAATAATTTGCACAGTCAATATTACAAATTGCCGCGAATTAAATTCAAACGGGGTGGCACGGAGCGGCGAGCATTGTTAATAAAGGTGATGACATTCGCGCTGTGGGTAAAATTCGAGAAACTATTGCTCGTTGTTTTGTTGGCCGACTGCAATTTTAT